CACATCCTTCCATCTGTTGGCCAAGGTCTCGCTGCCTCTCTTTTTCTTTCTTGCCCGTTTCTCAGGACACCCTTTCAAATTTGGTCCTGTGTTGGGATAAAGGGGTGAGAAGCAGTACGTTGGAGTAATGAGGAGTAGAAACAGAATGCCCTACTTTCCGTGCCAAGTAATTCCATCCCTGTCTTCGCCATCCTAGAATGATGGACCAGGGGTTGGTCCTTGGTCTGCTCCAGGGGGACAAAGGACCTGAGTCTGCTTCATTCAAAGTACAGCGTTTTGGGCTAGAAGGCTCGACCTCTGAGCTCAGACCGTGAAGGTGAGCTAGAAGAAGAGGAGGTGGCACTGGCATGTGTTATGGACTGGTGAGAACCAGAACCTTCTGGTCCAGGAGGAGATGCTCTCGAGCAAGGAGAGGGAGGATTTGGCAACCCAGTGGAGAGGGGAGATATTGCTGTTTGCATTCTGGGTCCAGCTTAGGACCAGATCTGACTTTTCCATGGTATTTTATAATATGGCTGGTTTTTAATTTAGTGGCCCTCTCTTCCCCCAACCCGTTGTCTACCACCTCTGTCTTCCTTGGTATGGATGCTCATATCTGGATGCGTTCTTCTGTTGTTCGTATGTCGCATTTCATGGAGCTGCTAGTAGGTTGCCAAAGGATTGCATCCTTGTTCAGAGTCGGCCAGCCAGCCAGCCAACTGTACCCTTTCCCTAGATGCTCCATTCCCTTCCACCTCGATTCTCTGTTATGCTCCCTAATAGCTTAGCCTGGTCAGTCCTCACTGGGCTCTTTAGGTCCCCATCTAGCAGAGCATTACCACCTCTGTGAGGTTGGTGACACTTGCATTCCAAAGAATTGGCCTTCAAAGAATGAATTTACTCTTAGAACATGAGGATTAACTCTTAGAACATGAGGATTTACTCTTCCAGCATCAGATTCTTAAGGGTCCATCTCTATTTTCCTCAGTAGGCAGAAAATGGCCTTAAGAAATATGTCCAAGCAGGGCAAAAGTGGAAGGATTGCTGAAGGGATTCTATCTTTAAAAATTCTAATACCGATTGACCTGATCCACACCAACAGGACTAACATGCAGATTATCCCCCTGTGTTCACACTTCCCAAATATTCCAGTGCAGCTCTGGGTCACAATCTGTCTTGCAACATGTTTTAAGATGCGCACTTGGAGAGAAAAAGCCTCAAGAGGCATGTAGATGGAATCCGGCTGGTGTCCCTCAGTTAATGGAAGGCCCTGGGATCCATAAGGGGCTTGCATGAACAGAAAGAGTGGAGATACAATCCTTGATAACGTACATGCCCCGTGCCATCTCTCATCCCGTCCAATGGATCTGCCAACCCCCCAGAACAGAGTTTGAGGGAAAGGAGGAAGAAAAAGCTGCAAGCAGGCAAGGGAACTACCGGAAATTTCTGCTTTCTTTCCACCGATGGAAGCTTCAGCTGGAGAGCAAATCCATAACTTCTTGGGTGTGTTCTTGGGCTATAACCGACCAGCATCCCTTTACTGATGCACTTTATGTGTATTTGTAAAAAAAAACTCACATGAATTCTGAAATGGGATGGGTGGGAATAAGGGTTGACATGCACAAAGGGCGATGCCAGGTGACCAGTTCACCTCGGACAGGGTGCCTCTGTCCCATGCTTGCAATGAGACTATGCGTATTATGGGCACATAACCACATCCTTATTTTCGTCTGTGAAATGCCATAAGATCACAGGGCAGATTTTATTTATGTGTTTAAAACTTTTTTTTTTTAGACCGTCCCTTACCGTGGTCTCAGGACGGTTTACCCATAAGACACAATAAAATAAAACACAGCATCTTAATCAGAATTTTCCAATCAACAATACAATCCCACATTCAAACAATCAAGTCTTAAAATATTGGGAAAATAACAAGGTTTTAGCCTGGCACAGAAAAGAATAAAGTGACTACGCCAGCGAGCCTCTCTGGGTAGTGAATTCCACAATCGGGGTGCCACCACAGAGAAGGCCCTTCTCCGGGTAGTTGCCCTCCTAATCTCCTTCAAGGAGGGCTCCTGGAGAAGGGCCTCTGCCCCAGATCTTAAGGGGGGGGGTGGGCAGGCACAGAGGGCAGGAGACGCTCCTTCAGGTAACCTTCAGACCCACTAACAGATCCCTGTCTTTTAGCATGTGAGCCCTGGAAATAGATTCAGAGACCAAGACCAGTGTGGAAAGGAGATGAGTCGCAGGTATGGAGGGAAATCCCATCTAAGGCATCCCTCTTTCAGCCACAATACCAGGTGTTGTGGAGCAGCAGGACTGAGAACTTCATGCCCAAGCTGCGGACATGCTGGAGGCATCCAGATGACCACCGTGATAAATGGAACGCAAGGCCAGAAGCTGGTCTGATTCAGCAGCCTCTCTTCCCATGGATTCTCCTTGCGTGAGACAACCAATTAGCCCAAAGCCCTCCCTGCCCAAAAATATAATATAATAATAATTATTATTATAAATAGAGTTTCCAGGTCTCAAAAAGAGGGTTGTCCTATGCCTTTAAGAATACCATACTATGCAGAAATCCACCCAAAGACGCTGATGGTATTCAGTATATTCCTTTGTATTCTTTTCTTTTTAACTCCACCATCGTCAGGGCCTTATTGAATTGCAATCCCCATTTTGTGTGCATTTTAGCAAAAGAAAAAAAAAGAGGTAAGTGAGAATGTCAAATAATGGCACTTTCCCCCAATCCTGTTAAGTGTGGTAATTTGCAGCCTGCTAAAATAATCACACTAATTTCCTAATTGTTCTGTGGGGGGAAAAACAACTTTGCCAGATTATGGGTATTTAGCCCCTATATTTGCATTTTTGAAAGGTAGCAATAGAGGAGCCCATGCAAGGTTCAATCCTGGAAGGTGCTGAGCATCTTCTGTGCAGTGTTTTTCCATTGAGGGTTCCATGCACCCTGCAAACGGGACGGGACTTGCCTTTGGTAACGGGACACGGTCAGCTACCGGCTGATTATTCGGCCCGGCAATTCACCTTTGTGCTGCCCGTGTCCCATTCAAATCTTTTCTGGGGGTGTCCTCCTGCCCCCTGCCCAGCAGCAAAAACTTCAAGGCATGCGGGAAACAGTCGCATTTTCTTCTGTTTCAGCTTTTGTGAGCAGAGGGCACAAATCAGTCGAAGAGAAAAAATACACGGCCTCCCACTTGCAGACTAATAATTATTCTTCTGAATGCTTCCAAATTAAATAAGTGTTTTAGCCACATGACTTTTTAAAGGTTTGAGATGTTTTGTTTTCTGTGTGGAGAATGGATTTGAAATAGTTCCTGAAGGGCTCTGCTTGGAAGCGGATTATGGATCTTTTTCTTTTCTTTTTTTTCTGGAGCTGGTACAAAATACTTGCCCTGCCCTGCCCTGCCCTGCCCTGGTATTTTGTCATAAGCAAGGCTCTTCCTGGGATGGGGTTTTGTCAAATTATAGGAGTCCCACTGGGGAGAAAAGAGATCCACCTTTTAAAAGCCCACTGGCTTAAATGGATGCCTTGTTTGGAAAAATAATGACTGGGACTCACCAGTCTTGTATGAAGTTAGTTGAATATTTTGAATGGTGTGTTGTTTGTTTGCCATTTTTAGTGGGCAGCTGCACCAAATCCATGCTTGGGCTTTGACCGGAAGCCCTAGCCAAACCTGAACTGCAGATAGATAGATAGATAGATAGATAGATAGATAGATAGATAGATAGATAGATATCTGGTTTGGGGAATTGTTGTTACCACCTTGGAAAGAAACCAAGATCTGGAACTATGATCTGAAGTCAGTTGAAGATCCAGGTTTGTTCCAATTCTGGTAACCATTGTTTCCTAGTTTGATCATAATAGGAAGCTTTGACTACTCAACTCAGGAAGTGTTTGATCACTTAAGAACTGGACATGAGTCAGACATGTATGTTGCAAATAGGCCATTTTATATTGTGAGTCATATATCTATAGATCCCCACTGCGTCTTTGCTTTTCTCTGAAGTTTTAGCGGTACAAGCTTGACGGCAACACGTGTGAGACAAGTGCATGATTTTAGACAAGTGTGTGGGCCGTGATGAACTTCTTAATAATAGGAGGAGTAGGAATGTCATTACAATAGTTACAATAATAGAAATATTCACTAGCAGACCCGTTTATCCAGCTTTGCACTTGAGAATGATATGATTGAGAAGGAAAGGGGACACCCAGATGGTGTGAGAAATCAATGAAGTTATGCATGACTGATTAAGTCCTTGGAAATCTGGAACCTGATGCTTGTGGAGAGCAAAAGTAGTGCAAGAATAGCCACTGGTTTGCTTTGAGGTCACGGGAGAAGCCAAGCTTCCCTTTCAGGTTCAGACAACACAAGGAGCCATGGTGGATTTTTTTTACCATTGTTGGGCCTGTGGTGTTGTCTGAACCCAGTCACAGCAGTTCACCATGGTAAATCTGCTCTTTCGAAACCACAGTCAGAAACAACTGCTCATACTGTTCCCCATTCCGCCACGGCTTGTTGTGCTATCGAAACCCAGGACTGCGCTTTTCATGATCCTGTTATGCACCAGTGCCCTGGAGGAAGTGGAAACCACAGGAGCCTTTCCACTCACCCAGCCTCTACGTGTGAACCAACGAGGAAAAGGCAGGTGGCGCAGGCAGGGACCGATGCACCTCGGGACTGACTTTGAGGTGCAACGGCAGCTAGGATGCAATACCACCGGCTGGAGAACTGAGCGAGGAGGATGGGAAGCGTGATAACATAGAAACTCCTTGGTTGTGTGTTGGGCAGACCATGGCGAACGCCAGGCACACCGTGGTAAGCACGCCTCGTGGGCTGAGGGAACACAGTCACTGCGTCTGAGGCGATGGCGGTATGTGGGGAGAAGCGTGTTCGGTAGGCCCACCTGTTTCAGGACCCAACCTCCTCCCCTTGGCAGAAGACGGGAGACCTCCAAAGCGCCCCTGATAATATTTCCATATACTTCTCTGTTTCTTATTTTTAAAGGTGACAACGAGATCGTGAATAATATGTATGAAACAGAGGCAGACCTCCTAGCGGGCGAGAGTGAAGAGGAGGAGACAGAAGACAGCATGATGTCCCCCATCCCCATTGGCCCTCCATCCCCTTTTCCCACCAAGGAAGGCTCACCGTACGAAGCTCCGGTCTACATCCCTGATGACATTCCAATCCCGCCCGACTTTGAACTGAGGGAGTCTTCTATTCCAGGGGCAGGTCTGGGTATTTGGACCAAAAAGAAGATTGAGACTGGGGACAAATTTGGGCCTTATCTTGCCTTCCCAAGAGCCACGTTGAAGGAAACAAACTTTGGATGGGAGGTAAGGCGGTCGTCGTAGCGTGAGTTTCGGCCTTGACGTGCGAGAGCGCGGCCGTGGATCTCGACTGTGGCGTGGCTTGCGGGACTGGGAAGGATCGGAGAAGCCAGGGGAAGCGTCGGTCGGTCATTGTGGACTGCGATAAACATTGTGCTTGGTTGACCTTGAGTAACACCACAATCGCGCTCGCCCCCTGAGCAGCTGGGAGTCCCAGGGCTCGTTTTTTTAGATCAGGGTTAGGCACCCTGCACCCCTAGAGTTGCATTCTCCCCTTGGCAGAAGAAGGGTGGTCTTTCAGCTTTGGTCCCTGATTTTCCCTTCTGGTCCTGCCTCCCGTGAAGCTTCCAGCAGGGTCAAGTTTCTCATGAAGTGAGAGGGGAAGTGTTGCGGTGTTTCGGTGCATGTGTGAAGAGAGATTCCCAAGTGTGAATGCAGTCCAGGTCCAGGTCCAAGGGTCCAGGTGCATCATAGTGGGGCCCGTTCTGCATTAATAGTCCCATGGTGAGTTTATTCAGCAATGAGTAGCGGTAGAGAATGGCAATAGCATCTGCGTGGTGACTATTTTAATTTCATACCAATCTCTCAGGACATTACTACTTTGTGGGCACTGCAAGGAAAAGAGACCAATAGGCAGTTAGGAACGTGTGTGAAATTAATTTAAGTTGGGTTTTGATCGGGATTTACTCCCTCCAGACCAAACTCTAATGCTGTTCAATTGAAGTTGTTGTGTTTCTAAGCTTGCATTGTGAGTCACAGTCTGCCCAGCTGGTGTTTAGCAGCATGTGTACATCTGGAAAATGTGTACAAAGATTTTGTACAGTCAGCAAAGTAGGCAGTTCTTGCCTGCAGGCTTGCAATCTAAAAAGGCATAGCACAAAAGGAAAAGAAGATTGGGAGGGTGGAGGAAAAACATTGACCTGCTTTTAAAATGTGCACAATTTTGCTTTAATCAATGGGAGATGGATGTGTACATCTAGAAAAAAATATGCATGTCTCTTTGTGTGAAAAAAAGAAAGGTTACAGTAAGATATGGAGTCAAGTTGGAACAGGCTTCAAGATGAAATTCAGAGCTCACGTTTTGCTGCTTCTGCTATCCGCACAGAATGTTGGGAGGGAATATTGGCTGGTAAACACTTATCAGAATATAGCTTTTGGGGTGTATGGCCAGGCATTGGTGGTAATTCCTACTGTGGTTCTAGGAACTGAGCAATATCTTGAGGGTGCCACAAACTGGTGCTGAATCTGGATGAAACTATTCCTTTAGCAGAAGAAAGAGAATCCTGCAGCTCTCTGCTTAATGTTCTGCTTTTATTTGTTTACGTATTTATTTAAAATATTTCCAACCTGCACTGCAGCTACAAAAGGCTTCCAAAGTGATTCACAGTCAACAAAATAGGCAGTCCTTACCTGCAGGCTTGCTAGTTAAAGAGGCATAGCACAAAAGGAAAAAAAAAGATGAGGAGGGTAGAGGAAAACATTGAGTCGATTAACAGCAGGGCAGCTGGGATGGCTTTGCTTGCCCTCTGAGCTTCTGGCAGAGGGGCAGGTCTACGTGAATCGCTTGCGGTAGGAACAGCTCAGAGGCAGGAAGAGATAACTTGTGATCCAGCCCCCTTGGGCTCTAGACCTGTCAACCAGTTTTCAGCCTCACCCACAGTCAATATGACCCCCCCACCCCCCGTGAAGCAATGCAGTCCTCAACAAAAGACATTTTGCCCACCTGTGCTTTAGCAAGACGAACGGCTCAGTTTTCTACTTTCAGAATTAGAATTCCCCTTGCAAGGAAAATGATGGCTTAAAATATGTGTAGAATGAAATCCTCTGGGCTGAAGTATATGTTCAGCTCCACACACACTTGCACGCGCGCACACACACACACACACACACACACACACTGGTTTCATTGCCTTTAATAAGCACTCTTCAAACTTCCTGCTCAATGCCTCCAGTTGGACCCTGAGCCATGTGCTTGTGTGCAAACTTGGTGTGCACGCAAGAACTGTCATGGGATAGACAAACGTCTCCAACTTGAGCACGAGGCGAGGGACTGGGAAAGCGACACACTTTCTAGGAATATTTTTATGTGCTCGTTAGTTTTTTTGGGCAGGCAATAAACTGAATGGCTGGCATTTTTGCTTCCTGTTCTGGATGAAATCCAAGGCAAACACATGATGTAGCTGAGACAGGTTGTGCTTAGTTCCACTAAAGCTGTCAGAAAGCCACTGCGGGTTCGGAGCCTCTCCTTTCGGGAGATCGAGTCGACGTCCAAAACCAAAAATGGCCTGGACCTGTGGTGACTTAAAAAGGCAATCCAAGTACGGCACAGGATTCCGAAGTACGGCCATCTTTCATCCTGGTGGCGTGCCTGGTTGGTCTTCACGGAGAGAGAGATTCCCAGCTAGACATGGGTGGGGCACTGTTTGCTCATCCCCACAATCTGTTAGGTTGCACGAATGCTTGAATTTTTGCTGCCCTTTTCCTCCCTGCCTCTTTGGTTCCCTGCTCCTCCCTGCATTCTCAACGAAAAATAATGGCGTGACTTTGCAGAAGGAGAGAACAGGCAGGAGAAAGCAAGACAGTGGAGCAAACCTATGGCGTCTCCTGGGCTGTTTGAAGGTGTCCTTGACACCTGGCAAGCCCCACAGTTTGTGGATGCAAACATTTGTCAAGCTTCGGGCCAACCTCGATGAGAATCCATCAGGATGAAAGGGAGCTCGTGTCCACCTTGAGCTGGGACCATGTCAGTTCTGAGCATGGGTCCTCTCAGTTTCAGCAACCCATGTTGAAGAGCAGCCCATTCCTGGTGGCCATGGTTGAAGGTCATCTTTATGAATTAGTTGCTCTGCAAGGGAGCTTGGCTTCCGGCTGCTTTCAGTGGTGTTTCATGGTCTACCTGCAGCACTGTATGTTCTCCTGATTGCCACCAGAAGTTCCTCTTCTCCTGATCTCAGAATTGTTGTAGTGTCTGAAAGGAAATCCCTTTCCGTTGTCTTGTTTGTGTGTTAGAAGTCGATAGACCCATGGCACGGCCAGCCCTATCAAAGGGCAATTCGGTATGTCAGCCCTGAGTGAATGGGTTATTGAATGGCAAGGTTAGTCAGATAACCCAATCAAAACTTCCTTTCTTCCCAAAAGACAGATGGAAAAAAGGAGTCCTTGCCAAATATCTCAGCAGAGCTTTCCACTGCCTTTAACAAAGATGTCTCAGAAGTTCTTCTTGCCCTGAGATGCTTCTACGATGAATCTCATAACTTTCTGGAATGTTTGATTAGCACCACCTTCCAACGTTGCTTGTGGAAACATCTCTTCCTCCCACCTTCTCCATTTCAGCACTGGAAATATTGGGCCATTCCAAGGAGGGTGTGGACAGGAGGCAAACTTTGATTTGCACACATTAAATATCTTTTTATGAACTATATGGAAACAACTTGTAGAAGGAAGGAAAACATTCCTTAAGGGAGGGCAAGATGTCGGTTTCAACAGCAGGGTTGGCTGCAAAACAGAGGTGAATTTTGAAGGTCACACATGCAATGCATTATATATCATGTTCCTATAATTCTGATTTGTCTTGGGTTTCTTGTGGGCTGAGATCGAGTTAGAGTCTGATATATTATATAGAGGTGTGCTTGTGTGCGTATACACTAGACTTCTGGCTTACATTTGGACTGTTGGGGTGCAAGTCTCTAACTTTTCTGGACTGCTGACCTGCATATACTTCCTTGGGAATAACACTCATGAAATGAAGGGGTATTTACTTCTTACATGCATAGGATAATGCTGATATTTTTCTGGTGATCGGCTGGAAACAGGGATGTGAAACTAGTATCCCTCCTGGTCCTGCTGGACTCCATCTCCCATCAGCCGAGCCAGTGGTCAAGAAAGATGAAAGTTGTAGTATAGCATCTGTAACTCCACAGATTCCCCAGCTATGGTTCAAAGGGTTCTCAGGACAAATGCGGCAGTTTGACATTATGGGATACTTCTTAAAAATATAAATTGTGAATTTCCCTGATGGGTTTTAAGGCAATGGATAATCTCTCACCATAAACTTACGTTTCTTAAATCACTAAATCCATCTGTATCAGTATCTATGTTTGCTTATAGTCCTCTTAAGACGTGATGTGCTTTTAAATGATCAAACCCTAAAATAGCAGAGTTGGAAGGGGTGAGAAGGCCATCAAGTCAAACCCCTGCTCAAGGCAGGACTCTGGGTTCAAGCATCCCTGACTGATGGGTGTCTAATTGCCTCTTGAAGGTCCCCATGGTTGGTGGGCCTACAAGCTTCCTGGGAATGGATTTCTGCTCTAAAGAAGATGGGCTTCTAAAGAAGCATCGATGACAGGAAAGCAATGCTTGCGTGGCTTTGTGTGAAATATTATATATTTCTATTTCTATTATGCATGCACACGCACACACACAAACACACATGTATCTCTTTAGTCCTCTCTCTATAGAGGAGGGCAAGGCAGGGACCTTAAGTTGTCATAGTGCTTTAAGTATAAGAAGCCCCTCAGTACACTGTCTTGCCCCTCCAGCTAAAATGATCAGGTAGCAGGTGATGGAAAGGCTCTGCATAGTCCAGCCAAAATGACGGACTCTTCGGGTCTAACTGCTTTTACTGGGGGAAAATTAATAAGAACATGAGAAAAGCCCTTCTGGATCAGACCGAAGGTCCATCCAGTCCAGCACTCAGTTCACACAGCAGCAAGCCAAACAGGATCCCTCCAGCAGGATGAGCGCAAGACCTCCTCCTGCTCAGTTCCTCCGCCACTGTGGCACCTCGTCAGCAAGGCTAGTAGCCATTGATATCCTCCTCTTCCTCCACTGAACAGTCCAATCCTCTGCTGAAGCCATCCAAATCGGCAGCTTTCAGCACTTCCTGCGGCAGCAAATTCCATAGTTTAGCTCTTCATTGTGTGGAAAGCGCTTGTTTTTACCTGTCCAAAACCTCCCTCCATCAGCTTCATGGGGTGTCCTCATGAGGCTGATAGGAATGCTAATGA